CGGCACACTGCAGAACATTAGTAGCTATAGAGGAACACCAAATCCCTGCAATAATACATTAAACAGCCCGTATAATGTATTATTGCTGGGATTTGTTGTTCCTCTATAGCTGCTGGTGTTCAGCAGTGTGCCGCTGTATTATACATTGGTATTCTGTAGAGCTGCAACATTAGATTAAAATCGATAAAAATGGTAAACGTTGTCAGCGTTTTCCATTGTCGATTCATCGGCTAAAATGTAAATTTCCCACTCACACCCGCCTGTTCACAGCTCCATACACGAGTTACGCTATGCACGCTGCGGACGCCATGCCCACCGCGCACACGCCCGCAGAGTACGTAGTTATAATGTACTATTGCTACATTCTTCTATAGCTGCTGGTATTCTGCACTGCGCCGCTGTATAATGTACTATATTGCACACCACACTTTTACTTCCACCGCGCCAAGCTTGCTCCCGTGATGGACTACAATCTCAATAGAAACTAGTAGTCCATCACTGGAGCTTTTTTTAAATCCGATTAGTCGATTAATCGGCTAACTAATCGATGAAAATAATCGTTAGCTGCAGCCCTAAATGCAGGAACATGTCAAATACAGTATAATGGGTGCAGTTTACTAGATGAGAGCACCATAATACTTCTACATTATGACTAAAGCTCTCGAGGAAGCCGAAATATTTCTACTTTATGGATATTTTCAGCCTAAAAGAATCAGGAAAAGCAAACCTGTTCTGCAGCACCCCCTACATACCAGAGTTTCCTCAGCATGCACAGTCCATTTGTATAATATGTGTAAATATTTGATGTACAGAGACTAACACATTGCACTGAGTATCAGCAACTCTGACAGTGGAATAGACAGAAAACAGAGCAGATGATGTGGAAGAAACACCACGATGTACCAAACACATCCCTACGTGAAGACATTCTGGAGACAAAGAGCTACGACATACCACAGAAAACAAACTACTATCCTCTTCAGAGCAAGTTCTCTGCCAAGCACACAAGATGGCGGCTTTTATTTATGGCTGGGCCAAGAGGTTCACTTTGGTAGGAAAGCCTATCGGGATAAAGTCATGCAGCCAACACTGCACACCTTTTGAAGAGGTCGGTACTGAGGCTGTCAGAGATTAAAGCAGAACTTTTTTTATTGCAAACACTCAAATTGCAGGTTAAAACCGCACCCAATACAAGCGATCGCTTGAATGTAAACAACCATCCAAGAAGCTCCCGGCCGCCCGTTTAATTAAAACGGCCGGTCGAGAAGCTACTCGTCCGGCTCCACCCTCCTCTCATCACAGACCAGAGGACGAGTGAATTTTCAAGCCCTGTATATTATCTATAGGCCATCTTGTAGAGTTTGTCCCTCTGCATTAGTGGGAGATGATTAGGTGGCGCTACCATCTGAAGGAGGTGAATTATTCATTCACAGGAGGGAATCTGTAGGAACCATCTTCATTCTTTGCCAGGAATCAGGTCTGTAATGGGGCGGTTTGGTCCCTACCTCTCTCCTGCTTGCTTATTTATCCCTTTTTTAAAGCTGCCGTCCTTCAAATGAGAAGGCAGAACATAGGGCAGGACGGTTTGGGGGGCAGCACATTGTTGTGTGCAGTGTGGTCCTGACCCTTTTTAAATGTAGGGCTGTATTGACCTATCAAGTGACAGGTGTGGAAAGTCCATGACCTCTGGGCTGTGCAGCCCGCAAAGCTTAGACCAAGAGGTCATAGGAAAGCCCTGCTAATATATCTAAAAAGCAGAAGTTCTGCTTCAACATCTTAGCGAGTCACAGACCAGGGACATGTACTGCACACACGCCAAGAGATCTAACTACAGCGGCAGCACAGCCACCCCAGGTCAGTGACTTGCTTAGCAGTGGAACGAGGATAAGACCAACTTCCCATTAAAAGTCCCTTCAAGAAAAAAAAAAAAAAAAAAAAGGGGGGAGAGGCGGGATCTCCCAATTCATAA